AAAAAAAAAAAAAAAAAAAACAAAAAAAACAAAAAAAAGAAGAAAAAAGAGCACATGCACAACATATTGACCGTTCATTATTTCGTTATTTTTTAGTAGTCTAAATAATCGATTGACGTCGAACATAAATTTTATTTTGCATATAGTATTTACAATGATAACCGATCAACTTACTTGGATCCCTCGTTATACTATATGTTCCTTTTCTAACAAGTATTACAGGAGCCTAAATGAAATGATCCTCTATTAACTACTCAATTCTTATTGTAATTTCTTCTACAATAAAGCTTATAAATAAACTTATTTTCTGCAAATTTTCTATTTGAAATTCTTTTAGCTTTCTAATGAGTGTCAACATTCTAAATCATCTAACACAGATTAATAACACAGCTGCTTAGATTTCCAATTTGAAACTTTAAATTTTCTTTTTAAAAAATTAAATCTTTTCAAGAACGAAAATTGGCTATTCTTAGATGCACTGCTCTATAATTAATTTTTCTATTGATATTTTTTGAACATTTTTTTAATGTCTTTTTGATATGTTAGAATTATCAGAATAGTACGGCATTATTTACTTTGCAAGCAACATCTACTATTGGTTCCCTAAAGGCGCAGTGAATAGCTGTAATCGAATCTGAAAATTATTTATTTTATAGACTATTTTACAGTATATAATATTATATATATATATATATATATATAATTTAAATATCATTTCTATTCTAATGTAGTTAAATGTATTTGGTAGTATATTTCATCCAAATTGTAGGCAGTTATGAAGTTATGCCGTGCTTAGCAGATAGAAATGAAAAAACATTTTTGCAAAAAAGTAACAGGTTCTTTAGATCTACAAGAAAAAAAAAACCAAAAAATTTGAGTGCTTGAAAATGTAGACAAAAATTAATGTTGACAAAAACGAAATTCGTGTTTTTCTAAAAATTCTGATACATTTTATCACTGCTCTTTATCCCTACTAAAAAACATTTTGTTTGTTTATTTATAATCTTTCTCTGGTCATGTTTACAAAGTAAAAAGAACTAAAAAAAGTTTAGCGATTTTTTACTTGAAATTTTGAAGTATGCAAAAATTATTTAGCTGATTTATATTCAAGCACAAATCAATGTTATTTTTTTTTGACGAGTAAACTTTTGCTGATAAAATAAAGACCTCTTTTTGCTTCATAGTATCGTGCTAGGGCAAAGCAACTCTCATCTTCTTGTTTGAGTACTTCAACAGGTAATTGACTTTCTGTATACTCAGTTTTAGTGCCATCTGTATAAGTTGCAGTACCATCAGCATACCTCATACCAATGATTCGTAACGAAACATTTTCAAATTGCTTGGAAAAAAGTAACACTAAAATACTTGATTAAAATATACCTATTCAAGTGCGGAACTATTATCTCTCTTCAGCAACTACTCAACAACAGAATAGTCTATTCAAAACAAAAAATTATATAAATTTAAAGCTACTGTGAAAAACCAGTCAAATATTTTTGCAAATTGAAAAATAAAATTTTAAAGCAATTCACATGGAGTAAAATAGCTTCTGCTATGAATGAGAACGAATAAAAGTCAGGTTAACTGTCAGACTTTTGAAATTTCAACAAAAGCTCTAAAACAGTTTTCATAATCTTATACGCCTTACACTATTTTAATATCTTGCAATATGCCAATATGCTAAGCAAATTTTTTCTAAAGTACAAATTCTGTTTTTTCCAACTCACAGACAAACAACAGATACTAATGAAAACAATAGTTAAATCAACTGTAAAATATTTCACAATTGCTCTTTTTGATTAAATATTTTTCAATAAAAAAATCGCAAAATTTTCTCACTATCACTTCTTTGATTAAAACATTTCTGCCTGCAAACAAATGATCAGTGATAGTGAAAAAATCTTTTTGAACAAATAAAAAATATCTGTTACTGTGTAGAAGCAGATTTTCTTCGTCATCTCGCACAGAAATCAGTTTACCGTTGACGCTGGTTTTGCAGAACTGATTAGCATCTGTGAAAGATTTTATTAGTGGACCGTGAGTCAACTGAAATGAATTGCCAACTTTAGCTTGTATCACTAAAAAAAGTTTTTTTAATCTAAATAAATTGAATTATGACAGATAACGTTGAGGAGACAAAAATCAGTTGATGTTGAAGAAAGTTTTTGATTGCACATCTTCTTAACACTTTCTACATTAAGCCAATAAACCACGTTGAAAGTTTCAGTTATTAAGCTAACTTTAAAAACTTGCTACACTGCAGTTTATCTACAATTTTTAAATAATATTGAGCAATGAAATCTTAAGCCGAAGAAATTTTTACATAACCTAGCCAAAATATCAATTAAAAATTTTTATTCAAAAGCTAGAAAAGAAGATAGAAGATGTGTTCGACACAAGAATATATTATGCGAAAAAATAAGTCAATGAGTTTTTGAGGTAGGGTTTAAGCTAATCTTAGTGTTGTAGAATAAAACATAAGCCTAAGAAAAACGTTTTTTATAGCAAAAACTTTTGCAGTGAGAAAATTATGATAACAGTGGCAATAAAATTTTGACAATCAGTTGGTGATAAAGAAATGCTATATAAATTAGCAAACTTTGATATCATGAAGACAATACTCTATTTTGCCATCTCGAGAGTTTATAAACTTTGGCGGAAAGTTATAATAAAAACCACTTATTTTCATGCAGTTGTCTACCACACCTGAAAAGTAGACAGTTCAACATAAGACTTCTGAATCTGAATTTTAAGCACATTTATAAAAAAAAAAAAGAAGCTATAGTAAACTTTCCAGGAAAATAAGTGATACTCTGTAGATTTTACATCCCATTATGAGTATGAGAATCAAGTTCTGAGTTATCCTAATAAGCAGGTATTTGGTACAGCTGTAGTCTATGAATATGTAATAACTGTTAAAAGAAAAACTCCGCACTGAAAGTGTGACGCGTTAAATAAGTACAGTTTCTTTAAACCTTTTTTTTCCTCATCGTTCTCATTTTTGCTTAGGATAAGTTGGTTCAGAAGTACTAAGTTACTACTCACTTCCCTAATTGATGCAGAAACTTGCATTGCTCGAGCACATAGTACAGTTTCAGTTTCTTTAGAAAATTAATTTGACACAAAATAGACAAACATACTGTACTCCTCCAGTGAATTAAAGGCTTCCTAAACAATACAGAGTAACTTAAATCGGCATTTATCGATTCGGTAAAAGAGAAGTTAGTTTTTTTCTTGGTTTCTCTCCACTATAATAGACCTCAAGAGAGGCACTGAAAGGTAAAATGTAAAGCAGATTTTCTAACAAATATTTGCTATCTAAATTAAATTTACTAATTGTGTAAATTATAAACTTTTTTTAATAATTTCTTTGAGAATAGTTTAATTATGATTGAATAATTATCTACAGATAAAACAACATCAATTTTTTTGAAATCAAAAACAGCTTTTTTTTATTTTTTTCTTTAGATACACTTTTTATAATGTTTCCTAAATGTTCGTGATAAACGTGACAAATGTTTGAGAAAAAATTGCACAGTTATTTTAGTGATTTTTTTGTTTTTCCATGTTAATAAACCAAATAGTCGTAGAAAGAAAAAATTAAAATAAAGAAAAAAATTTATTTATGCAGAAAAAACTATTATTTATTTGGGCCAGAAACGCAGATTTTAACAAATATTTGCAGTTTTATAACTAAGTAGAAAATTTAATAAATGCTTTGAAAATTTACACAGTTAGCCAACGAAAATTTGATATTGAATATCACTTCACAGTTTTCGAAATCATTACAGTGACCTTTTTTTCTCTCCTTACTTCATAACTGTTGCATCTGAACCAAAATCCACACATTTTTTTTTTGTGCTCAACGGCAAAAAAAAAAGGAACAGCAGACTGTTCTGTGGATGTATCGTTTAGCAGTCCTAAGAGAATATTGGCTCATTTACATTCAATAAACAGCTGAATTTGAATGCCTAAGATTAACATGGTAATTTTTCTAAGCTATCAAAAGAATATGATTCAAAAAAACGTTTTTTCTTTTACAAAATTCTACAGTTGTTTAACTTTTACATTAAAAAAGGATGAAATAAGGAATATACATCGTCTGGTAAAGTTGATTCCAATGTTTTACACACAATCCCTTTCCAAATTTCTTCTCCTTCACACGGTATAATTTCAACAGAACCTTAACTGAGTAAAATAAATAAAAACAGTGTTTAATGAAACAGAATATAATACAACAATAACGAAAAAACTGGAATAAACCAAACTTTATCGATGTATATTTTAGGCAACGTTTACAGGTACGGTGTTATGTTAGAAAAACAAAATTTTATTGGTAAATTAAAAAAAAAAAATTGTTTTTTTTTTTAAGAGCTTTTCTGTATTTAACAGATAAAAGAATAATTATGTAGATGAAAAAAAAAGACGGTTATAATAAAAAAACAAAAAAAAAAAAAAGAAAAAAGAGGAAACTTATTTGAAAAACTTTCACTATCCTACTTCGTTTAATTTTAGTATCGCGAACTAAGGCGTAACATTTTGTAGAAATATCGCTGCTTCTAAAATCTGCTGAATTATCAGCTCTTTTTACAATGTATTCAGCACTTAATCCATCTGTGAAGCGTGAAATACGGTATTCACTTAGCAACCGAAAACCAAGTGGTATATAATACTTCTGTTTTTCATACTCAGCACCGCCTGGAAGTAACGTATCTAAAAAAAAAAAAGCTAAATTTTATTGCGCATAAAATTAGGTAAAGTTTAAAAAAAGAAAAGAAAAATGTGCATACACGTAGGTAAAAAATTAAAAATTTTATCAAATGTTTTATTTCTTTTTTTTGCTAATGTTTAAACGAGAAAAAATTTAACAAAGAACTTTATATAGTTTTTTAACAATTTATATAGTATGAAAAGAATTGACGACCGATACTGACATCAAAACATGAGCATAAACACACACACATATTTAGGCAGTAATCTTTTAAAACGAACGATAGAAGATAAGTGTAAATGAATCCAATCATTAGGTTTTTTCATCGGTTAAGCAGAAAATAAAAAATAAAAAATAAACTAAACAATACACTTGAAAAAGTTTATAAATTTCTTGTTTTTAATAATGTATCAGCAATTTTTTTTTATAACCTACGTATAAAAAAAATAAACCAATGTTTAAACTGTGTTGCAAAGCATAGAGGGTAATATAAAAGAAACCTGACCTATAATAAACATCATTTCCTCGGCGTTACGTACAGATAACAGATGACCACCGTACTTTGTTATGCAAGTTTCTTCAGCTTCTTCAAAATCAAACCTACGACTGCTCTCTGCTTTTGTGGTCGTAATTTTCCCAGAACTACCGTTACGGTTATCGTTCTTTGAATTTTTCTTCTTATCGTCTTTTTTCTGTTTAAAATATTTTTCTTTAGAAAAACGTGCTTTATAGTTTACTTTTTTTTAACAATTTAGTATATGCAGATGTCATACAACAAATTTGTTAGACGTTTACATCAAATGGTACTCATTTAAAGATGACTCAAAAATTACAAAAAAATAGCAACAATAATTCTGCTGCACTCTTAAAAAATTTGCAATTTTTTTAACATTTATGTGATAAAAATTGTTGCTTATGTTTTTTTTAGCATTACAGCAGTTATAAAATTTCAAGTTTATTACCTGCCATTCTTCTTTATGCGATTTTTCAATGGCTTCAGTATCTTGACATATGCAATACTTTGACCTGCCATTTTCAGCAGATATGTACCAAATATTTCGAATTTCTACTTTATCGGTCTTTCTATCACCACTTTGTGAAGGACAATTTTTAGAAATAAATCCTAAGAAGTGTAACTTTTTTTGCAACCTTAGCTATATCAACAGGCGAATGTTAATAGCAAAAAAAGAAACTTTAATTAAATTTATTGCTTCTTTAATGAGATATTATGGTAAATTGAACAAATAAAAAATTAGCACAATAAATTTCTAGTTTTCTTTTGGTTTGATTACTTTATTACGCTGATTGGCTGAAAATTACGCTGTAAGTACACTTTTCTTCGCAGGCTCCTCCCACTAAGTGGAAGAAAGAGATGGGGCCACCAGGCTAAAATAGCTCCAACTGCTCTTTTCCATTTTAGAAGAAGTTGTAGTGGTTTTTTGGTAGCACAGAAAGTAAAGTTTACAAGCAGAAGAGTTATAAAACTAACGGTATCGTTGAGATAAATTCTAAAAAATATGGTTGAATATACGACTGATTATCTTTTGAAATACAATCATATTTAATTTTTAACTTTTTTCTCAAGTTTAGGTTGAGTTTATTTTTAAAAAACCAACTTACTCGACTATGCAACAAAACTGTTACCACCATCTTCACCAATTCAAAAATGTTATTCTTTGTAATTTAAGTAACTTAGCAGAAGTTAAATAAAAAGTAAAAAAATAGTGTGAGTAAAAATAAAATTCTTTGTACAAAAATAGTAAAAAAGTAAAATGAATAAAAAATCAACAAATAAAAAAAGCAGCACTGATTTAAAAATTTCAACTTATTTTTAAACTTCTTCAACAGTTACATATAGACATTCTCGAATAATTCTAGCACTACTTACATTAGTGTCAACTAATTGGCCTAAACAGAACAGCTCTCAGATATCTTTGTTCTAGAATCTGTAAGGTACATAATCGAGTATGGTGGTTATTATTTTTATCATCCTAAACCAGTCTATAATTTTTGTCAATTATTTTACAGTTCAAGAGTAACTTGCACCGTTTTAGTAACATATCTGTTATATCGACAAAAATAGGATTACAAAGATAATTATAGCAGTATCAAATAGATTCGAAATCAAGCTATAGTTATTGCAATACAGTTTAACTGACTTAGAGAAGCAGTATTTTTTTTTCTATAGGAAGCAAAGAAAAACGACCAGAGAGGAACAAATCTCAAAGAAAAAAACAAGCTCAACTTTTCTTAGTCAGACCAAACCTCCTTCTTTGTAACTTTTCTTTGGTTTTCAAATCACCACCTTTGTCGTTAAAATACAAGAAAAAGAAAAATAAAATAAAGAAAAAAAATGAAAACAGAGAACAAACCTCAGAATATCGAGCTTTTGATTTGCATAAAAATATATCACTTTTTCTATTACAAGATATTGCAGTAAGGCGAGCTGAAACGTGGTACCTTGCAAGCTACAGAAGTTTTTAAAGCAGTATTTATGTTTAACATTGGTATAACATAATACTGCTTTATAGAACTTTCTTCTTAAAAGCTGTTACTGTTGGTATACAAATGGCAAAACAGTTATGCTTGGTTTAAAACATAACCTATAAACTACATTGAAGTAATGTAGCATATGAGTTTCCAGTAATCTGTTGGTAAGTTATGTTGCTGATAAGATGTTTAAAATATTGCTATATTTACTCAAGCTTCTAATCTTAATGCCATCAGCAAGTTATTCTACAGAATTTCTTCAAGCAGGCGGAGTGTTATCACAGAAAACAGTAAAAATATTCCCATAATTCTTTAAAACCTACTTTAGTTTGATAGCTTTTTAAAAACCCTATTTTTAGCACGGTCCACTGCTAAGCATTTTAAAATTTATAGTGCCAGAGATGGCGTCTTTAAAGATACGAAAACATAAGATGGTCATCTATTTAAAGAAAAAAACTGGAATTTAAATCTGTGCTTGACAATAACCCTCCTGCTCAATTAAGTCATGAAAACAAGTTTTAATCTTTATGTTACAGCTCTTCCGCAGCTTAAGCTAATTTCAGAAAATTTTAATGTTTAAATTAGATAGTGCAATTCAAAAAGATTTGTTCAGCGGTTTAACAAGGTTATTTTGTCTGTGAACGCTGAGCTGTGATAATACTGTTGCGGCTTTTTACTTTTTCTAATTGTTATATTAAAATCTGTAGTAAAAGTCTTAAATTCTGATAAGCTCAAAGTATTTTTCTGATAAGCTTTCTTTATACATTGGAAACTCAGTATGTAAAAAAGCAGCTTTTAAGAGCTTATTTTTTTGAATGTTAGTACCTTCACCAATGCTCACTCTAGTAACCGCAAGGCAGTCTGACGGCGACGCTGCAGCATTCCACCTTCGTGCGTTTTTACGTGCATATTTAGCATCTGTGCCGTCATAAAAGTGATCACTATTGCGAGCGACTCCCAATATAAACTCACTGTTTGGTGGTAAAAATCCTGAATTTTTTTTACCAGTAGTCATTCTCGTCGAATACTTCTGACAAAGTTTCTTATAGTTTCCAGTAAAATTTTACAGCAATTTAGATAGTACAGCCAAGAGACGGCAGCATATAAATGCAAAGATTCAGTACGCATCTTCTAAACGACGCTAAAATCAACACGCAACAAAAAAAGTGTAAGAGTCGCACCTAAATGCTACAAATGAAGATTTTAAGTCACTAATGAATTGTATTTCAGTAAAATTTATTCTTCTAAATTTTACTCGATAAAGGAACGAAAGAAGAGCAACGTATTTCAAAAAAAAATTATTACCTACTAACAACACGTAAGAAGATACTTTTTTTTTCTCTGGGAAACCTTGAGAAAAGTCTTTTCACGCTTAATCAATAAAAAAACTTCTATTTCTTCTCTTCTGGGACATAGAAAACAGACAAAACAATTTCATGGTGGAAGAATGGTTATTGGAAAGTCAACAAGCAGAAAAAAGATCGAGATGCGTCAAGGCTGCTGCCTAATATACATAAATATATATAATTTCTTTAGCAATTATTGGTCTCATGCAGTGCTTTATCGACATTCAACTAAACACTAAACGAGAATGATAATTAGCTACAAAAACTAGATAACTAGTCATCACTGAATGACGAGAAATTCGTGACTTAAATTTAAACAGGTCTTATAAACGCGGCTTTTACGCTGCCATCACTGCAACTGTGAAATAGGTGTAAATTATAAAGTTTTATGGCCAACTTTTTTATGAGACAAAAGTGTTTATAAATAGTGTAAAATTTAACTTTTATATTTATGTATAAATAAAGGTTTCAACTACACAGCTGTACCGTTAATTAATTCAAGTTCAGCAACATCTTCAACAGAATATAAATACCCCCTAGTTTTTTCCATACAATATTTGTTGCTTTCATCTACTGAATAAGAAGATTGGACCTATAAAATTTGGTTATTTTCTGCTGCTGTAAACTAAAAATAAAAATTTTATTTTTTTATAAATAAAGTAATTAATAAAATATAATCAACAAACATTTGGGTTTCACTAAAAAAATGCCTTTTTTTTTTTGTTCCGATTGAGCAAAGAAGTCGAACCAATTTGGTATAAGTTGATGTATATACAGGTTTTTACCACTAAAACTTTTACTGATCCAACAACATCGCCTATGAGCAATTATCATTTGATAGCTCAATTTATAAATTTATAAGGAAATTCAAAATTAAAAATGCAGAAGAGAATCATAATTTTTTGCTCTTTCTAACCTTTATTCCAATATAGCAAAAATATTGAGCACCATCGTCAATTTGTACCAAATAATTCAATTTAATGTTTATATTAAGTGGCAAGTTTTCACACTTTCCACGAATCACTGCAATTTGTATCAAGAAATTTTGTTTGTAAACAAAATTTGATAATTCTGATACGGTCTGTTCATTTATGCGTTAATAACCTTTTCATCTAACTAAACTAGACCATAAGTAAACAAAAAAACCTACGAAAACTGATGAAACTATATAATAGAAGAAGAAGAATTGGTTTACTTGGAACATGATGATTTAAAAAACACTAGACTACACCTTTTGTCACATTAAATGACAATCAATAACTGTTTGTAAAGTGTTTTTTATGCCCATATATTACTGCTTTGAGTATAACAAAAATAAATAACTAAAGAATTATATAATATTTAGAAGGTTACTGTAGCGATGCGGCTTTTCCAATTCTGCCTCATCGGAAAAAGACTGAAACCAACATCTGTAGCATGCATTTTATCTATTAAATACTTAAATAGCTAATTAGTATGCAATTCGCTCATAAAAACGGTTCCAACGTTTTTGAGCCTAAAAAAAGATGCAAAACTGACGACAAACTGCAATTTGTCTACTTTCAATATTCCGCCTAAAAATTCTAAAAGATTTCTGATAACTTTTTTTTTACTATTTGGTAATCGGCAAAAAATGAAAAAATAATAATGATTTAAAAATTTAGCATACCCATAAATAATGTTTTTGTCTAACAGAATCATTTGCATTCCAGTCCTGTATATCTTCTGACGTATTAACAGGTATACCAGTGGTGAAGTAGTCACCTTCGCTCATATTTTGATCACCTCCTTCTATAATAATAGTAACAGCAACAAAATAATCGTTCTACAAGAAGATGCAAATTTATTCACTTAATTTTTCACTAATTTGTTTTTTTAACTTAACTAATACCAGAAACATTTTTTAACAGTTATTACAGACACCTAAGAAGTGTAAATTTGAGAAACTTTTTAAGAAAAAAAAAATTACGCTGTAAAATAAGTAGTTGCAAAAAGTTATCAAAAAACAAAAAAAATTAAAATTCAGTTTTTGAGTTAAAATTTGTTGGAAATAATTTTATAAGTCTCGTATGACTAAGCAAATAAAGTTCCTTCAATTGGCAAAACTGCATCTGCCAAATACAATTGAGAAATTTTTTGCAACACACCACTTGCAATGATCATTTTTTGCAGATTCAGAAAATAACAAACCAGAAGAATTGTAAAACTTTGAAGCAGAACAATATTTCATAAATATTATGTAAAATAACAGCCGCATTGTAAAGTTGTCTTCAGAAAATCCATCACTGATTCTGTCGCATATTCTGAAGATATGGTGCCGGAAATAAAATTTTGTTGCTTTTAAAACCAAAAAAATGCAAGCTATACAGTTACCCAGTGGTTTATTCTCTCTGTTCTCTTCTCTTTCTTTCTAAAAAAAGCTTCAAAACATTGTAATTTTAAATGATATTAACATCACCTATTTGGCTTTAAACCATTCAATGTTTGCTTTATGTAATGAAGTCACTCGTAAACATAATATCCATAATGCTATTCCAGCTATGTTCGTTTAATGTCTGTTGACAGTTTCAGACCTCTAATAATTTCTTGAAAGAAGAAATCAATTAAAAAAGTAATTATTTCACTGCCAAACTTGCAGTACAGTGTGAGTAAATTATGGTGCCAAAATTACATATCATCTTTCAGCTGTAGCTCATGATCGCGAAACAGTAATTTTTGAAGTAGGCAATGTCAGTGCTGTCATCGCGATACAGAATACGAAAAAAACTTTGACAAGGCTAAACAGTTGTAAAGGCTTTATCGAACAGCCTAAGACCTAAGATTAGTTGTAAAAGCTGTGACAAGTTTTCAGGTGGTTAACAACAGCAATGAATGCTATCAGCGGCACTGTTCTGCAATTTTCAAAATTGAAACCTAATGTAAAAATAGGCAGTAGAAACTGACAAAGATGGACAGCCGTAGAGACAGATAATGAAAAAATTCTTTAGTCCCGCGGAGACAACAAACGAAAATCAAATTTTGAAGAATACTACCGTAAACCACTGAGAAACATTGGTGCCAGATATTCTAATCTTTAGCCTGGTAATACTGCAGCAAACTGCTTGAAAGGCAATTTTATGCTAATACAATGATAGTTTTAGTTTTGATTACCGACAAACCAATAACTAATACAGATCACAATAAGCAGAATGAATAAAAGCAACAAAAATGAAGAAATCTGTACATAGATGATTGGGAAGTTCCTAATGGTAAAAACAGATACCTGCAGCTGGAAAAAACTGTAACAGATGACTAATAGTTGATTTGCGACAGCCGTCATGAACAGCAATTCAATTTCACTGATTTTCTATATTATTCTTCCTTAGATGTTTTCAATTCTATCAATGTTTTTTTACATAATCATTATTTACTCTCTAGTACTTTAAAAAAGAAAAAAATTTCTTGGTAACAAAAAGTTTTGAAATTATCAGTCACAAAATCAGTACTTTGACTAGCACTTGAATACAACAACTGGTAGTAAAAAATGTCCTCAGTTTTTGCTGCAGTTCACCCGGTCATCAGTTCAAAAACACTCTTTGATTGATGAAAACAAGCAATATTTTAGCAAATTACCGAGTCAGTCGACAAAACCAACAGAGCAATTTTAAATAGACTACGGTAAAGTGAACTTTTTAAGTTTGCCCTGCAACAGCAAACCAGTGTTACATCTTCTAAACCTTATGATGCTTTTCTTCAGGTTCCATAATTAGTTTTTCCAAAACAAAACAAAAAAAAAAAAACTCAGTATTATAGTCAATTTTTACCAAATGCTTCAACCTTTCAGTAATAAACAACAACATTTCTCATCAAATTCTATAGTTCATGTGTTTTTTACAGCTCAATAACAAAAAATTTTACAAATAATTAAATGGAAACTAACTCAGTATGTAAAACGCACTCAGTTTCATTTTTTTACGTCTAGACTGGTCCAATATACGAATTCTTTGAAGTACTATAATCGAAAAGATACAGGCGCAAAGAACGTTAGGTGTAAATGAACTGAACTTTACACATCTTTTCCGCTAAAACATCCCATTGAACGCTATTAAACTTTTCTCTTTTTGACCAATTATTTCCCAGTAATTTTCATCATTTTTTTGATTAAGTAAAATGATTCCACCATATTGTTTGCTATTACTCTAAGGCAAATAATGTTACTTCTTACAGTTTTCTTTTTTTCTTTGAATGCAAGTAACGTTATTTCTAATTTTGTACAAAACATTGAGAAAGATAACAATACAGTAGTAAATTACAAAAATAAAAATTCTTGAACAAAAAAAAGAATAACTCAGCATTCAAAAAATACCCGTTCACAGCACCAAAAAAAGGAAAAATAATAGCTGTGTGATTTGCAGACTTCCAACTAATCCCATATACCTCAGCTGTCACCGATTCTGAACTCCCCTTAAAGAAATATTTCAAAGTCCTTTCAAGTTATTGAGTTGGTTTATATAAAAAGAAAAAAACAAAAATGAACTTCCAACTCATCTAGAACAACTGTGGAACTTTGTAAATTTATTGATGTGCTCGGGTACATCTGGCAACAAATAAGAAGGTGAGTAGGCAAGGCAGAAATTCAATGTACTACAAGTAACAAAAATTTATTAGTGCCAGTACGCAAAGCTGATATAATCGTACAATTAGCAAAAGTACGATTTAATAGTTGGCATATAAGTGCTGTAAAATAGCAGTTATAAGTAAGCCAAAAAATGACGTGTTTTTGCTGTTAAAAAATATCAGTATAGTTTTTGAATTCACACGCCTAATTTATTCTAGTGTCCTACAGTTAATTGTATCAGTAAAGATAAAAATTATTACAGATAATATACAACAAGCTTAAAACGTATAGGTGTTATGAACTATTGTAAGTGAACCCCATTTCTTCTATTTGTTTTATCATATATGCTTTCTCTTCAACAAACTGCTGATCTTCCAACCGATCTTTTTGAAAATCAGCGAGAAAATGCAAGAGTTTTTCTCGATTTCTCTGCAGAATATCCGCAACGCGCCTAGTTTTATTGGGATTAGCAACAAATATCTGTAATGAGAACACTTATTAAAAGCTGCTTCAAATTAATTTTATGCTTTGCTAAAAAACTTGCTAGCATAAACTTATAAAAAGACCTTGAAGACGTGGAAAGCTTCAAACTGTACACCTCGACTTCTTTCACGAAGTAAATTCATAATGAGCTTCAAATTCTCAGCATCATTTATGTACCGAATCATAATTTCGTAATTGTAGCGATCCAAAAGCAATTCACCCAAAAGCTAAAACAGCGTAAAAAACTCCCACAGGCATTTGGTAACCAATTTAGGAAAAAGCCTTGTTCTCTGTAACCGGTAGTACATTTCAGGCTCTTAATCATAAAAAAATTAAATAATAACCTTCAGTGACTGCCTTCTTGTGACATAGTTCTTCGAACATAACAACCTTTGATAATTAGAAAAAAATGACTTGTAATTTTTCACAAGAAAAGTCGCACATATCTGCTGATGACGAGTTAACAGATCTTTAATAGTGGTGAATGCGTCTGAAGAGATGTCAAAACAAGAACCCTGCAAATAACGTTAATTGCAATCAATTATCGCACTGAGGGCGTTTAACGCTAACAATTTCGAGAAAAAAAGTTCAAAAAATCCTTACTTCAGTATAATCAAAAAGGTCATAAAACTGTGGACTATCTAAAATAATTTTGACAAGATCTTCATGTCTCGCACAGTCTCGCAGAATCATGCCACAATTTAAAGCTACTTCGGGAGATTCATACCTATAATTAACAGAAAAAGATAAACACGGTCGAACTAAGTTTTGCTACGCACTGGTTTTGAGAAAACGGCAAATTTATCTAAATTGACCTGATAAAATTTACAAAAAACTCTGAAAAAAAAAAGCATACCCTTTCAGAAGTGTAAATAAAAGATCATATCGAGCACAAAGATATTCTACAGTTGGAAACCGAGCTCCAATCTTCCTCCGTAGTAACTGACTAAACACACTAACAACTCTTTTTCTCGTCTCAAAATTCAGATCGCAAAGATTTTTAACCAACATTACTAAGATATTGAAGTAATAAGTTGCCTGAGCTAACGATCCAATCTGAAAAATACTAACAGAAACCATTTAGATCTCGACAGAACTCATTAAACAGGACTGCAGAATCTCAACTGTTAGATTATTAGTATCTATCAGTAATTTTTGCGTGAAACATTCGAACCAAGTGTTAAATCGCACGGTAAAGTTTCCTCCTTAACTCTAAATCAATAAATCCTATCTTTCCCAGCCTCTGCTTTGACACCTTTTGAAAGTGTTTTTCAAACTTTATTCATTAAAAGCTGAAGCGTACAGCTACCGCAGCATGCTCTCACACTGGAATCAGCAAACTCACTATAAAATCGCTCGTGTTAATCACTCGGTTAGCGCGGCTGTCTCAAATGGCAGAATGCGGTTTTTAAATGTGGCGGTAGCAAACAGTATAACAGAACAAACCCAAAGCTTAAAAAATTCTTGTTTTAGAATCTGAAATAACCAACACTCTGCTTCACAACAGAACTCCATTAAAATCCGCAACAAATAAATTTAAGCGAACCTCAACCCAAAAACATTGCAAATGTGATGGCTGGTGCATATCTTTGAAATATAGTATTCGTCTTAAACATAGTAACGCTCACAAAGACCGACTACCCGACCACTACGATGCCAAGATCATCAATAGACACACCTCATCCTTAAACCAGTCGTCTACGAAAAACCCTTATAGGATAACTACAAACAACCCCTTGCGAAAAAAATTACAGATAAGGCATAATCAAAAACGAACAAACCTGGGCAGGGTCTTCACTATGACTAGTGAAGATGTCTTCATACACTTGAAGCCATCTTCCAACTTCCTCCAATACCCTTTCCTTTTTAGCGCCCTTTTTTTCCAGCGCCCGCAAGGCCTCTTTTAGATGTTGCACTACGCTCAGTGGCGACTTTTGTGATTTTCCAAACAACAGGACAGTCACCAGTTCTACATAATAAATATAAACTACAGTGCAAAGAAAGGGGAATTCACAGTTAACTGAAATTTATCTGTTCACAAAGAACTGAAGTTACGGTCTTCACATAGACCGCTAAAGCTATGCCTAATTTATATTCAATTAGCAGAAGAAAAACGGAGTTTAAAGAAAATATAAAAATGCATACGAAAAAAATCAAAAGCCATATTATCCGGATGTACCAGACACTGCCCTAGACTTCACTCCAGCGTAAGACACACTTAACAATAACATACGACCATTGCAGTTGGAAATCACGACAGAAATGTAAATTATAAAGTCCATATAAAAAAGCACTGTCTACTAATTGCCGCTTCTTTCTTTTAACAAGTTACTTTCTGCCAAGAAAAAACAGACAAATAAATTGAGAGACCCTTATCATTATGATAAACAAAGCTAAGACAAGAAAAACCCTTTTCCAGTGCTGACGCTTCACAGTATGAAATCACAAATTTTATTATTGACCCCATGCTTCAGGGTCACCTTCTAACACTGAAAGCACAGCTATCACGAATCGAAATAAATTCGCTAAAAAGTGCTAAAATCTAACTAACTGCCTCTCAACAATATCAGTGGTTGAGAATAATATAGCACCTGAGTTGACGAATGAACAAGCTGACGATAAAATTCAATAAACCAAGCTTGCGATACAAAATAAAATTCAGAACAATACTACAGTAATGCTACACACGATACCCACTTTCAACAAGTATAAAATTAACAAAAAATGTTAATTTACAAAACTTGGAAAAATTTTGAATTCAGAAGTCTCATAAAAGGCTACGTAATATCAGCAAAGTCACAACGTGTTAATATTGCCAACAAAAGGGTTTTTTGGAGCAGCAACAGTAATAATAACAACTATAGCATAACTACCAAATGATATCCAATCAAAATCAAAAAAAAAAAAAAAAATGATTTTCGCTGTTGTTATCGAACATGTGTAACAACAACCGGGTTAAACACTGAAGACCATCATAAAATAGTTCAAAAACGGTTATGGAGATTTCAGATCTTGTATTTGTTTAACTAGGTATGTCTTTTCGTCCAAAAACTGTTCGTCATTTGTCCGTTCAGGCTGGAAGTTGTTAAGGAAAACTATTAACTTCTCTTTATTCCGAGCAAGAATTTTTGTTACCGACTTTGTTTTATTTGGATTAGCCACAAAAATCTGAAAAGAAACCAACATTTTGACCAATAAACTAAAGAGTGCCTCAAATGGTATCAAAAAGCGGACTACAAAAAGCGGACTAAAAATTCTGGCGATACAGTTTCAAAACAAGTGTTAAAAAGCTGCGAAAAATAATAAAAATCTAGCGTTAAGAGGTCCAACCTTGAAAACATGAAAGGCTTCAAACTGGATAGTCCGACTTTTCTCTCTCAGCAGATTCATAATTAGTTTTAGGTTTCCAGTATCGCTTATATAGCGTGTCATCACGTCAAAATTTTGGCGACCCAGCAAGAGTTCTCCCAATAGCTGCAAAGTTACAGTTCAGTTCCACCCAAGACAAAAGAAAGAAAAAATTTTTGTCTGTACAACTTTTCAATGATGAAACGTAAAAAAAAAGCTGAACGAAAGTGCAACAACAAAAAGTAAGATCATTATCACCTTTAATGACTGTCGTCGTGTAACATAATTTTCGGATATCAGAAGTTTCTGATAGTTGGTGAAAAACTGTTCATAATTTGTCTCAAAAAACTTAGCGGTTATCGATTTGTGTTTTGTCAATAGATCTTTGAATGTAGCAAATGCATCAGATGCCAGGTCAAATGAGGAAGCCTAAGTAATGGAAAAACCATGTTTCAAATATAACAACTTGCATACAAATCTCAAAGTTTTAAAAATCAATTAGCTCATTATGTATATCAGAAGCTGTCTGTCACATTACTAAACGCAGACAAATGATAGATAAATACCATAAAACTTTGAAAAGTACCTCAATATAAGGGAAAAAATTATACAAAATTGGACTGTACAGTATCACTTTCGCAAGATCTTCATAGCGAAAACTTTCTCGAAGAATGTTTCCACAGGTCAGTGCTATCTCCGGTATTTGGTAGCTATAAAGACCAACAATTTGAAAGCCATATTATTTTGTTATTGATAGGTCTGGGGGACACGTCCAACTTAAATGAAATAAATAATTAGAATTAGAAAAACGCAAACCCATTAACAAGCGTGAGCAGAACATCGTAGCGAGCACAAAGATATTCGACGGTCGGACACCGATTACCGACTTGGCGCCTCAGCAAATTACTGAAAACCGTCGTGACTTGCTTCTTTGTTTCAAAATCTAACTTTGGCAAATTCTTCACGAGAAACAAAAGAAGATTCGTATAATGTGTTTCCTGCACCAAAGCAGCTACCTGAACAAAGTGTACTTTTAAAGAAGCCAATTAGTAAAGCAATAAACAAAAATCAACACTACGGAAGAATCCTTAATTTCTGATAATGCAGTTGCTTAGTAAAAAATTTTAACGAAATTTTTAAAGCTACATCCACACATCAGGTGGGTTTTATTGAAAAAATCGAGCTGCCAATACTTTGGCAAACCTGAACTGAATGCAAAAGCATAGGAACTTGCCATACTTTCAAGAAATTTCTCTCTTACACCGTTTCCCTTGCATCTCAAACCTACTTCTTCTTTTCCTAAGAAAGAAAAGTAAACGATAAAACCAAGACGCCACAAACCTGAACAGGATCTGGGCTGTGTCCCCCATGCCCAAACAGCGTGCTCTCATATGCTTGCAACCACCTCGTAATAGTCTCTAATGTTTTTTCTCCCTTCTTACCGCTGTTTTTATCAAGCAGTAAAAGTGCGCTTTTCAAATGACCGACTATTTCTGCTGGAGATTTGTGGGACTTCCCGAATAAGAACATTACATACACGAGGCGATGACAGCACTACTTTCAAGTTCCAAAACGACGCTAATCCCACCTGTCAATAAAAAACAGGAAGCAGTGCCACGTATCTTATTACATTCACATCTACAAACGACCAACTCCTCTATGCACGAACTTCGTTACCCCTAAGTTTTCTCACGACGACAACTCTCCACCGTTAACTTGATGCCTTGAAATCATAAAATTATCTGCCCAATAATCAAAATTGGATTAAAAACTTTATCGTGCACTTAACCAACGACGAACACTTGAACCGTACATCCTAATGAACATTGAAAACATACTCATATAAGAACAAAACAAAAGGTAGAAAGCTTTACTTCAAAGAATACTTAAAAACTAGTCAGATTTATAGAATATGCGCAATATAAGCCTTCAAATTCCGAAACCAGACACACTCTTGAGAAATGCCACTTTGTTTCTGAACTCCACCAGACCACAAAACGGCAAACTTCCAAATTAAAACTTTCAAAAGTCTTTGAGCGCGTCATCCAACCCAACACTCAAGAGGTGAAAAGTGGGAGGTCCTACCCTAAACCTTCATTGATAACGGAAGTCTAAACCAAAACTGGCCAACTACAACACCCTGCAACACAACCACTGACTTGACCCCTCCTTATTGGTCCTGCGAGCCTTCTTTTCCTTCTAAATTTCCTCTCTAGTCCACTTTCTCATTCTGAAAGCCTCGGACACCTTATAATTACCACAACAATTTAGAATTACAAATGGGTATCAAAGATTACCGACCAATCGATGCATGAGATTTCAATAAATAAATCTTAACACAAGACAAGAAGTCTCCGCCAAAAGAGAACCTTTTTTAGAAGGTACGAAAGCAAATATTTCCAAGTATTTTAGGAAGAAATCTTCAAACAGATCTGTGCCTACAAATGTGCAGAAGTAAGAATTTTCTAATACAGAAAAATTACATTACAATCGTCTACAGAAAACTGGCACAACGCTTTCGACAAGACATTAAATGCAACCATTTTGTTTTCACTACCACAGCAGTGACTTTTACTGCAGAGAAAAGAAACTACAGTCAACAATAAAACATTCAAATTGTGCTTTAGGAAGAATATTAAAGCAGAACTGCAGAAAAAAAAGGTTAATAACGCAGGAGATTACAGTAACAAACAAACTGTATAAAAGAAAATATATCAAGTCTCCAACATATTACAACAGAAGAAAAGTGATAACAATTAGTCAAACCCAACTCGAGTAGGAATCGATGGTTTTTCCATCCGTTTCGCTAAACGAGACCTTTGAAGCTTGTACACTACGCTAGTTACAGCGCTTTCTTTGGCGGCACGAACGTAGCCGCCAGGTCCATGAACATTAATGTAGTATACCGTATCAACCATTTGACGCGCTAAAATATCACCATAAGATGTTCCTCGTCATTAATAACATAAAAAATAGCTTTCTCCAGTACAAACCTCCTCCCAACTCAATTTATACTGTAAAAATTACCAGATTTTAAAAAAAGAGGAACTTTACCATTATCGAGGATTTTCATCTCATCATAATCATTACCCTCATAATTCCCATAATCTTCCAAGAACGAAATCTAAAAACATGGAAATAATTTTTACCTTCAAGAGAACTTCATAAAATCACTAACAGCCAGACACGAAAAGGAATATAGGCTTAGATAAAATTAGTAAATATGTATTTATAGTAACAGTAAACAGAATTTAATTTTCAGCCTTAAGTAAATATTTATAGAAAAACAAACCGGTAAGAAAAAAAACAAGTTATATACCTCATTCATTGCTCCAATAACTGTATTTAAACGGTGAATAAACATTCCTATTATTTGTACCAATAAAATGCCCATTAGAATTGTTAAAATTACCAGTCCAACAGGCTCCAAATTTAAACCTCCGTACACCTCAATATATCCTTTCCCTTTCTTTTCGTCCCATTTTTTGTAGGAAAACCCTTCTGAAAACCGAAAAAACTGCAC